GCTCTCCAGCACTTGAGCCACACCTCTGGCCCTAGCCTAAAGAACATTTAAAAACTTTTTTAAGAGTGCTAGGGATTAAACCCCATGCTAGGCAAGTGTTCAGCCACTAAGCTATATCCCCAACCCCCAAAAGAACACTTTAAACAGTCTTGCTTATACTCCTGTTAGAGATAGTGCCTATATAAAGGAAAAGCTATTCTCATTCATATTGTTAAAACTGAATTAATAGCATTATAGTGTTTACATTCACTGTGCTTCTTTGCTAATCAATAAAACAATTTTCCAAAGACTTTAGTAAGTAAGAACAGTTCACTCTTTTTTGTTGTTGTTTTTGTTTTTTGGTGGGACTTGAATTTGAACTCAGAGCTTCATGTTTGCAAAGCAGGCACTCTACCCCTTGAGCTATACCCCCCAGTCCATTTTGCTCTGGTTTATTTGGAGGTGGGGTCTTGTGAACTATTTGTCTGGGCTGGCCTCAAATTATTGCCATCCTCCCAAGTAGCTATATATATAGAGAGAGGGAGAGAAATTGTTGAGCAAGGTTTCTGGAAAGAAGAGGATGCTGTATTCTAAGTACTGGAAAGTTTAAACTTGATTGAACAAAGACCAAGACTACACTGAGATTAACATCATCACTACCACTATCACTGTTTATTGCTTTCCTACCTTTTGTAACATTCTGCTGAGCACTTTTTTTTTTTTTTGAGATGGGGTATCGCTATGTTGCTTTGTTGCTCAGGCTGGTCTTGAAGTCCTGGGCTCAAGCAATCCTCCTGCCTTAGCTTCCCAAGCAGCTGGGTCTATAGGTATGTGCCACTACAGCTGAGTACTTTTAACTCTCATTTGATAGGGACAAGGAATGTAATGGGGCAGAGCAATTTGGTTAGTATATTAGTCAGACTTTTTGTTGTTGTGACAACATACCTGAATGAACAATTTAAGGAAGGATTTATTTTGGCTCACAGTTTCAGAGGATTCAGTCCATTGTTTTGGACCTGTCGGGGGCTGGGCAGAACATTATGGCATAGTGGAGCAGAACTGCTCACCTCATGGTAGCCAGAAAGTAAAGAGGGTGAGAGAACACAGGAACAAGATAGCTGTTTGAAGGCCTGCCTCCAGCAACCACCTCCTCTAACCAGGTCCCACCCCTTAAGTCTCCACCACCTCCCAGCAGTGGCATTATGACTGCATCAACAGATTAATCCATTGATGAAGTCAAAGCTCTCATGATACAGTCACTTCCAAAAAAGCCTATCCATCTGGCTTTTTATATGAGCCTTTTGGGGAACACTTCATGTCCAAACCATAACTATTAGATTTTGGAAGACAGAGAGTTGGAGTTTCGTTCTCTTAGGCTTTGTTTTCTCTGGGCAGAAGTAAAGTCATCTGGTAGGAGCAAGTGGGATAGTGGTGAGAGTATGGTTTCAAAAAGCTGCTGTATCAATGACAGTATTATGAGGGAAATAAAGGAGGATAGCTGAGCATTGCTGAAGATCCCTCCTGTGTCAGAGATGATGAACTTAGAGTGGAAGAAGCCCTCATGACTTAATGGTGGTTTTAGCAGCTTTAAGCAACTGGAAGATAAAAGCAGAGGACCTCTATATAGCTGTATGCTGTGGGGCAAATGGAAGAAATGGAATAAAGGGATCTAGAGCATTGGTAGGATAATAATTGTCTTGTAGCTGGCTAGAGAAAGAAATGAATCCAGGAGAGGACTGATGGGTGGCAATGTGATGGGGAAAGAGTTGTCAGGGGTTAGAAATAGCAGTGAAGTTGAAGAACAATAGCTATTGAAAAAAAAGACCAGGCAAAGGGTCTGACTCAAGGTAGAAAGGCAGACTGCAGTTGAGTTCTTGATGACCAGGAAGTCAGCAGATGACAGCAGTGACCAGTGTAGTTACTTGGTGCAAGCCTTGGCAAAGGAAGGGTTTTTTTGTTGTTGTTTTCATTTGGTAAGGTTGTAAGAATAATGGTTTTGAAGAAGCATCATAACAGATGATCTGTTTTTCCTCTTAGTACTGTTGGGTACCAAAGAATGCTTTTATGGCCCAGAAATCAAGTTCCTAAAGGATTGTTAAGTTTCAGCTTAGAGGGATGGTAGCCAAGACTATTTTTCATGCTTGCTTTCTACATTGCTCACCTAAATAATGTGGAGGTTTACTTGTGTTGGTGGGGATAAGTTCTAGCCAAGTAGGATGACTTCCACAATGTCCTGAGTCTTCATTTGCAGGTGCAGGGAGCAAAACACTTTTGGAAGAAGAGCCCCAAAGTAGCTTGGGGTGCATTGCTGTTTCAGTACTTTCAAAATAGTTTATAATTTGTTTTGCCAAATAAAATGAGAAACTTCTGTCTGGCAAAAGTCACTATAAACAATGTTAGAAGACAGCCGACATATTTGTTGCAATATGGCCCTCTTGTAGGCAAAATTCCATTTGGCCATTAGGAGTTTTTTTTTTTGTTTTTTTTAAACTGCTCAGGATTAGTGTAATCTTTGAGAGGCTAAATGGAAACTTAAGTTGTTTTGTTTTGTTTTTTGAAGCAGGGTCTTTCTATGTGTGAACTTGAGATCCTCCTGCCTCTACCTCTTGAGTGCTAGAATTACAGACCACCACACTGGCTCCATATGGAAACTTTAAAAAACTTTCTTGCATAAAACTCTAGGAGTTAGTGAACTCTTGAGCCTTTCTATTTCCTCTGAGGTCTAAAGTTTATTTTTTCTGGGCTGTATTCAGTCATTCCCTTCACAGTGACACAAATAATAACCTAAAATCCACATAGTTTTAAAGAGTCTGGAAATACTCACATTGTTCATAAAGACGTTTTTGGATTTTCAGTGATTCAGGATTCCTTTAACATTGTCAGTCCATGACTCCAAACACTTAAAAAAGAAACCTCCAAATAGTTGAAACAAACAAAAATCCTCACAATTCTTTTTTGCCCTTTCTTTAGTTTAATCCATTTACACCACCACCCTGGCTATAAAACAAGACATGAACAGCTCCAAAAATAATTGCCTAACCAGCCATTTCAGCACAGGAACCTGAGCAGAAGAGGCTATGTGCTCAGAGCTTGGAATGCATTGTTCCTGTTTCAATACTTTCTAAATAGTTTGTAATTTGTTTTGCCACATAAAAATGAGAAACTTCTTTTTGACAAAAGTCACTATAAACCAACTTAGAAGAACGTCAACATGCTAGCAGAAAATTTTTGCAATATATATAATAGACAATAGGTTAATATCCGTAACATAATACCAAAAATTCTACAAATCAATAAGAAAACGACACAAACCCAAGAGAAAATGCACAAAGAATACAAATAGGCAACTCACAACAGAGCAAACAAATTTCACTGAAGGAAATGCTTACCCTTATGCACAGAGTTGTATAGATAAAGATGTTCATTGTAGTAGTAAATACCCATGAGTAGGGGAACTTTGAAATTCTGTAGAACTGATTTCTATGTCAGAAATAAAACAAGTGCAGAACAGTATGACTAGAAGGTTCCCATTTATTTTACTTTATTTTTTTCAGTGCTGGGGCTTGAACTCAGGGCTTTCACCTTGAGCCACTCTACCAGCCCCTTTCATTTTTTTGTGATGATATTTTAGGGTTTTGCAAACTGTTTGCCCAGGCTGGCTTCAAACCGCAATCCTCCTAATCTCTGCCTCCTGAATAGATAGGATTACAGGTGTGAGCCACCAGCGCCTGGCCCCATTTATTTTTTAAAATTCTATTTATTTGACTTCAAATGTATACATGTTGTTATAAATTTTCTTAGTGGTTGACCCGATTTTTTATTTTTATTTTAATTTTTTAACTTGGTTCTACTACTTAAAAGCCACATCTCCAGTCCATTTTTGCTGTGGTTATTTTGAGGATGGGGATCCATGAACTGTTTCCCTGGGCTGACCTTAAACTTTGATCCTCCACATAGCTAGGATTGCAGATGTGAGCCACCGGCACCTGGTGGTAGTTGCCTTTAGGTTAAAAAAAATGTTTAAAAACAACAACAACAACAACAAATGTTTAAGGATGTCTTTTCCTCCTCCTCCTTCTCTTCTTCCTCCTCTTTTTTGGTGGTACTGAGGTTTGAACTTGGGTGCTTGCTAGGCAGGCTCCCTATCACTTGAGCTACATCCCCAGCCCTAATTTGTATTTTTCTAATGATGACGCTAAAGAGTGAAAAGTTAATTTGTGCCTTCCTCTTATATAAGATAAAAGATTTATTATCCATCTTTACCTTCTGCCTCTCTATTAGTTTAATCTGTTTTATAATTGTTATAAAACAATTATATTAATTGTTTTAGACTTGTTACATAAGCTTTTCTCTCTGCTAGAGAGTTTATATAGATTGATACAATAAAAAATTATTTTCAACAAAAGCTGACTTTGTCTAGTTCTAAAGAGGGGTAGTATAATTCATATTTGTAAAGAGAAAAATCATTCCATTCCCTTTACTAGGTGATGGTAAAAGAATGAAAGAGTCCAAAACTGTTCCTTGGTGCTGGTCAGGGGTGGAACCTGGAATAGATCGTTCATAGTGCTCCTGACTCTAGCTCTGGAAGGGGGCTGGAGCACTAAGTTGCTCTGAAATATGTAAGGGGAATTTAGTTTCTGGAGGAAAGGGGAGATCTCTGTCTCGCTCCATCCCATGCCCACACAACAGGACAAGCTTGCGGAGAAGGCAAAGGGGCCAAGCAGCATGGGAATATAAAACCCTTCTGTTTCTTCATACCGTCGGGAAAGTGATGAATACGTATTTTGAGTGAGTTTGTGTATGTGTATTTTTTTATTTTTGGTAAAGCATGGAAAAGAAAGAGCTGATTCCCACATCTGGGACAGCTTAGAGCAGAAGGAAGACACCAGTCTCAGGAAGTGAGACATGAGTATAATCAAAACTCCCAACAAGCCGGGTGCTGGTGGCTCACATCTGTAATCCTAGCTACCCAGGAGGCAGAGATCAGGAGGATCACAATTCAAAGCCAGCCCTGGGAAAATAGTTTGTGAGACCCTATCATGAAAAAAACCTATCACCAAAAAGGGCGAGTGGAATGGTGCAAGCAGTAAGAGCGCCTGCCTAGCAAGTGTGAGGTCCTGAGTTCAAACTCCAGTGCCACCAAAAAACAAAAACAAAAACAAAAAACCATCTACAGTCATTCCAAACTTTGAGGACAGTAGAGGTCTATGGGCTTAAGTGTCCAGCATGCATTCTCCTTTCTTACATAAATGAAAGCACTCTGATTATTCTCAGGAAAGGTTCTGGTGGGTAGGTCTGACTGTGCCAGAGAATAGCAGTTGGTATGGGAATGGGCCCAAATCTAGGTCACTCAGAGCTCTCCAGGTTTTTGATGGAACTCTTAAGAAGTACATTCTCATTTCTTTTCCAGCTAGATTGTGAAGCTTGTAGAATGTAAGCCTCATGCTGCTGGGGACCATCTTGCCACCCCAAGGAAAGCACTACCTGAGAATGAGGCCAATACAGACGAAAGCTGAGCTGTGGGATGGAGGACACTGGAGACCAGATAAAAATATTGAGTACCTGAGTGGGGATAAAGGAGAACGGGAAAGGAGGAGAACTCAACTGTGATATCTAGTAAGAACTTTTGTAAATGTCACATTGTATCCCCAGTACAACAATAATAAAAGCAAAACAAAACAAAAGAATATTGAGTACCTAGATCTATAACATGTCTTAAGCTAGTATAACCCTGGACATTTCCTTTACATGGGCCCAGATTTTCCCCCTTTTTTTCTTGTTTATGTAAGTTTGATTTGGATTTTTATCACTTGTGTTCAGAAATGTTTTACCTAATCCGTGCCATAAATTGTACATAGTTTTCATTACAGAGTATGATTCAGCCTTTTTCAACAGATCCTTTTGCCTTACAGTGCTAAATTTGAATTGTATATTTGTTATAGGAATCAAATTAGACCCTACATGTAAAGAACCTAGTGTGACCCTCTGTATAGTAGAAAACCTGTAAATATTAACTACAGGAAGCAAGGAAGGAAGAAGGGAGGAGAAAAGAAAGGAAGCATGGGTGCTGAATTAAAAGAACCCTGAACTCCTTAGGGTAATCTAAGAACCTTCAGACCCTATGTGGCTCCCTGTTCTAAATGCCCTAGCACCCTATACTGTCACCCTCAGAATCCTTCATCATGGTTGAAGGATATGTTTATGTATTTTTTTTTAATTTATTTTTTGCAGTACTGGAGTTTGAACTCAGGGCCTACATCTTGAGTCATTCTACTGGCCCGTTTTTGTGATGAGTTTTTCGAGATAGGGTCTCATGAACTGTTTCCTTGGGGCTGGCTATGAGCCACAATCCTCCTGATCTCTGCCTCCTGAGTAGCTAGGATTACAGGCACCAGCATATGTATTATTTTGATTAAGATCTTCCCTCACTGATCTGGCAGTTCTACAAGGGCAGTGATTTTGCTCACTTTGTACAGTCTTTGACATTTGACAAATGTTTATTGAATTGTTACATGTAACTGCATGTGACAGATTCAACTGACCTCCTTGATTCTTGGGATTGTGACTGTGGCAGAATTGGCAAAATCAGGGATAGAAGACCTTGTCCTCTCTGTGCTTCCTATATTACTCACACTCCCAATTTACACATACAGAGAATTTTGTCTCAGAGAGATGTAATTTTTGTTTGATTGTGAAACTTTTTTACCAAACTAGGTGCTGTATTTTTATTGGACCATTTTTATTGAAGAACTGAATAGATTAATTCTGGCCTAATATCTAGAAAGCCTTACAGAGGAGCTCTCTGTACCTAACAAGCAGCTTCCTTGCACTTGTGTCTTTATAAAATCACCTGTTTTAAATGGGGTAGTCCATCCTCCCTCAGGCTCTTGCAAGAATTTGTTGGATGTCAGTCAGAAGGCTAGAAGTTGGTGAGGGAAAGGTCCTGGCCACTGCAGACTACATTGTCTACCAAGAAATAAAAGCAGTGAAAGGTGCCTGGATGACCTGGGGCTCACTCATTCAGTACTTTCCATTGAAACAGCCTTCAAGACTGAATCCATCCCCATTGCTGTCACCTCCTCCCAGCCAAGACTGCCTTTCATCCCTTCCCCCAACCTGAGTAATTCTCTGGGCCCACGTGACTTCCACTGGCAAGTGACATTATAGACGGTTTACCAGTCAGTAAAGCTGCCAAAGGCTTTTGTGCTGTGATAATCCTTTTCCTTTTTAAAACTCCGGGGATTTTCTACTGTTGCCAATAGTTTTTCAAGTCAGCAATTACCGTGTGGATTATGTAATGGCTAGGTATTAAAAATAGAAAAGACTGGGCTTTGCATCTATTTTAACCAAATCAAAACAGAGCAAAGGGTGTGGAAGGGAAGAGAGGGAGAAACCAGAGGTGGGGAGAAGAGATCATATGACAGTAGACATAGGATTTTATCATGTGACTGGATAATACAGGGACAATTTACTGTTCCTTTTTTTCCTGTCATTTGTGATCCAAGTGCCTATACCTGGGAGTGGGCCCTGCCAAGTACAAGGTATTTCTTAGCTCAGCCTTGGTGTGTTTACCTGCTTCTCACGAACATAGTTGATAGTTCAATTTGATGGCCTCCCCTCAAGTCCAAGTCACTTGTGTCTTGCTTTCCAAGGTCTTTGCAGTTAGTCAGTTTCTCTTGTTGCATTAGTGGGCTCAAGGGGTGGCTTATGGTGGTGGGGGATTCTTATCAGTCCCTTGGCCAAAACAACCCCAAATAAATAATCAGCATAATTAAAAACCATATATAGCCAGGCGCTGGTGGCTCATGCCTATAATCCTAGCTACTGGGCAGGCAGAGATCAGGAGGATTATGGTTTGAAGCCAGCCTGGTTAAATAGTTCAAGAGACCCTATCTCGAAAATACCCAACATAAAAAACGGCTAGTGGAATGACTTAAGTGGTGGAGCACCTGCCTAGCAAGCATGATGTCCTGAGTTCAAACCCCAGTACCACCACCAAAAAAAAAAAAAAAAAAGACCCATACAGTCTCTATAAAAACACAGCTTCAAGATAGACACCCTTAAGCTTCTCACTTCTCCACCCCTACTCTCCTGCTCCCTGGATTGCTACCCTAAGCCCCTGATAGAGTAATTCCAGGGCTATCACTGGTTTGTTTTTGTGTGACTACACCAATCCCCTACCATGAGTTAAGGGATATTTGTATTTTCTGGAGAACTTCTGAGTAACTTTAAGGACTCCAATGATAACATTTGAAGGGCCAGGTATTTTTGGAAGGAGTACTTCGAAGGGCCTGACAGATCACATCAAAACATACCAGTCTTCCTATCATGTCATGCCCAGAGGCACTCACAGAGGGAGATTTATTTATTTATTTATTTATTTATAGTACTAGGGTTTGATCTCAGGACCTATACCTTGAGCCACTCCACTGGCCCTTTTTTGTGTTGGTTTTTTTCAAGCTAGGGTCTTGCAAATGATTTGCTAGGGCTGGCTTTGAACCTCAATCCTCCTGATCTCTGCCTCATGAGTAGCTAGGATTACAGATGTGAGCCACTGGTGCCCAGCCAGGAGATTTTGAGTTAATCACTGGATAATTTATAGCTTCTGAGCCTGCATGGAGCTCATACAGAAAGTACCTTACTTACTAAGTCTCTAGTGGCAGGGAGTGGTGTGTACTTTGAAGAAGTAGCTCACTAATTTCTAAAAATGGAACTCAAATGGGTTTGGTGGGGTTAGAGAGAGACCTGAAAGTCTAAATGGCCAACAGATTCAGTCACAGAAAGTTGTCTCATCACCACTACTACTGTCCACTTCTACGTCTGCTCCATCACACTCTGTTCTCAGAGCCTTCCTCTGTACTAATATGAAAAAGAATGCCTATACAACCGAGCATAATACTGGTCTTAGCTCCGTCCAAACTCACCTAGCCTCACCCTAATATTGTCCACCCGACTAGAATTTCTGCGAAAGGAGGAGAACTCTAATTGTGGATTTTAGGCATAACTTCACAAAATAGGAGGGAGGAATCTGGAGACCTGTCTTAGGTACCTTCAGTCATATACCCAAGATTGGGAAGAGCTCATGATGTAGTACATCTTTCTTACCCTTGTAGGTTTTTAGTTCGCAGTTGCTGGATTCCTGTCCATATTCTCACCAAAAGGTGACTTTGGTAAAAACAATCAAACATTTGGTATGATCCAGATGGTAATGATTAATATGATGACTTCTTATTTTGTCTTTTTGAAACAGCATCTCACTCTGTAGCACAGGCTGGCCTTGAACTCATTATGTAGCCCAGATTGGCTTCAAACTTAAAATCCTCATGCTTCAGCCTCCCAAATGCTGAGATCATAGGCATGTGCTCCCATGCCCAACATGATCTAGATTTTAATCCTTCCAACCTACTATTTTCTTTCATATACTTGAACATGCCTGGTAAAGTATCCTGGCCTCGTGTCTCTGTAGCATCAGTTTTTCTGTATCTGGACAAGCTAGCCACTCTGGACCATCCATTTCAGCAGAAGTTGGAAGTCACAGATTTCTACCTTCCACATTCCTTCCCACCTTCTAGTCTTTGAAAAAGGAGTCCACTGAAGCCCATCCTTTAGGGGCTGCTCAGGGTCAGAGTCAGTCCAGGACTAAATCATTGGCAAGGTCCACAAAGGAGCCTTGTCTACCTAAACTCAACTCTGTTGTGGCCTCCTTCCCAATGGATGGTGCCATAAACAGACATTAAACTTGCCAGGGGCCTGGCTAAAGTAGTAGAGTGTCTACCTAGCAAGTGTGAGGCCCTGAGTTCAAACCTCAGTACCTCCAAAAAAATGAAATCTCAAAAAATTTTTAAAACAAGACATCAGAACTTGACCATAGCAATGCCTGGTACACTTGCCATTCCCATCCTTTTTCTGAAGAAGATGGCTCTTTCTATCATTAGAATATTAAATGGGTTTCTATTTGATGTCCTCAATGCAAAGGAACTAATGCAGAAACTTTAAAGTGACAGAGACCAATAGAAGAAGGGGATCAGGAACTAGAGAAAAGGTCAGTTCGAGAAGAATCAACTTAGAATGTAACACATATGTATAGGAAAGCAATGCGAGGAATCTCCCTGTATAGCTATCCTTATCTCAACTAGCAAAAACGATTTGTCCTTCTTATTATTGTTTATACTCTCTCTTCAACAAAATTAGAGATAAGGGCAGAACAGTTTCTGACTGGAAGTGAGGGGGTGGGGGAGAGGAGGGGGCGGGGGAGAAATGACCCAAACATTGTATGCACATATGAATAAATGAAAAAAAAATTAAATGAGTTTCTCCCCCAACACACATAATATAAGTGGTCATAAGTTGGAATGAAAAGAATAACAAATTTATATTTAATTTTTAATAGAGGGGGTAAATTTGATCAAGGTATATTATATGTACATATGAAAATATAATGAAACCCTTTTGTGTAATTAATTTACACTAATAAAATATATTTAAGCATCTAGCCACATTGGCAAATTTGAGGCACAGTAGTGCTTATATATGTGGGATATTTATTTGGGCTGCAAACAGCAAATTATAAATAATGGATCTATTAACACTAATACCAGGGCTCAGAACTAGAAAACAATCACCCTTTATGGAACACCCCTTCCTCTCTCAGTCCCTTCTTTCTCTGTCCCAAGCATAATACTGAGAAATGAATTTGAGGGATGGGCCTCAGGACTCCCACCTGTTTGCTGCAACTCCTCAGGATGGAAGTACCAGGATGTGAGAGTGGGGATAAGGCAAGCTGTGGGGAGAAGGAAACATGATGACTGATGATTCTAGACATATTTGGAACTGCTCTTTGTTTTCCAATAGAAGATGAGGAGGGTTAAGGAAAGGAGGTGCAGAGAGGGATGAGGAAGAGAGGAGAGGGGGACAGAAGGGTAAGGTTAGTGAGGGAGGATACTGTAGGAAGGGCAGTGGTCTAGGATGGGAGTAGATCGCCATCTCTTAGGGAAGTAAGCAGAAGATATCTTGGAAATCTGGCCCAGATTTCCGTGAAGTAATCTGATTTCAGCAAACGTTACCAGCCCCTTGACTGTACTTTCAACATCCTCTTTCCTTCCAAACAAGACATGACAGGCCCAGTCAAACACCCATCTCTTTTTGTCACTGAAGACCACAACCGAGGAACAACTTGCTAGCACTTACTGCCTTGATGTTTGCTTTTTTGCTTTGTTTATTTTTTTGAGACTGGAGTTGTAGCCCAGTCTGGCTTTGAACTGGTGACCCTCTTGCCTCTTTCCTGAGTACTGGATGAGTTTTCATTTTAAGGGGAGACTCCAAAATATTACTTATACTAACACTGCTATTACTTATTCTCTGGTAAATTTGGCCATTTTAAGTTTTTTGAGAAACAAATTTAAATTAGCGCCGTAGAATTTTTCAGTCTTACTCAAATCTCTACTATATTTTATCTTCCCCTTTTCATTTCTAGTTCACTTATTTAATGCTCCCACCTTTTTCAAGATCAGTTCTGTTACTGGTCTGTTTTGTTGCTCTATCATTGTTTTATCTCTTGGTTTTCTATTTTATTGACTTTTTTATCATTTAAAAACTGTATGTGCACACGTATGTGTGTGTGCATGTGTGTGTGTGTGTGTCATTTGAGCCAGGTTCTCACTATATAGCCCACAGTAGCCTCAGATTTGCTCTGTAGTCCAGGCTTGCAGCAAATTCACAATCCTCCTGCCTCAGCCTCTCAAGTGCTGGAATCACAGGCTTGAGTCACCAAGCCTAGATTTTAAAAAAGAAAACTTTTGTAATTGAAAAGTAATACACAGGGTCACTTTCTCTTACAAACTTTTTTTTAATACAGCAACCCAAAAGAATGGAAAAAAGGCTTTAAAAAAGAGAAATCCACATTGCTTATAAGCATAAAAAAGACTACTAGCAAGTAAAATAATGTATCTTTTTTTTTTTTTGGTGGCACTGGGTCTTGAACTCAGGGCCTCACCGTTGCTAGGCAGGTGCTCTTACCACTTGAGCCACTCCATCAGCCCAAAAGAATGTATCTTTTAAAGGCATACCTCTCCAACCTAGAGATCTTCATGTTAAGTGAAATAAGCCAGCTCTTGAACTGTTTTCAACACACATACTCCTCCCGTTCATTTCTCCACAAAATACAAAATTATAGACTCCTAAAAACAAAACTTGACCCAAAAAGAGTTAAGAGAGCAGGCACAACAAGGGATAGTAAAGTTTATTAGGAAAGGAATAAACTTTCAATAGACTGAAAGCAGGTCTCTCTAAGAGTGAGAATGAGAACAACTTGTTTTCTATCAGATGTGGAAGGGGACCACCAGGAGGGGAGAAGGAAGGTGAAAGGTAAGACAAGGTAATGGGGGTGTGAATATGATCAAAATACATTGTAGTGCTTTTTTTTTTGGTGGTACTGGGGTTTGAACTCAGGGCCTCATACTTGCTAGGCAGGAAGTTTACCCCTTGAGCCATTCTGCCAGCCCAAAGTACATTGTATACATGTATGAAAATGTTATATTAAAACCCATTAACAAATGCAAAAAAATAAAGGTAGACCTCTAGGCTTGAATGGGGAAGAGAGCCACTTAGGCATCTTACCACCAGTGCCCAGTGGAGGGCCCTTGGACTGTAGATAGAAGGCTGTCCCATTCCTGCCCTTTTATTTACTGGTGTTAGGGCACAGGCTTCTGTTTTCTCCCCTGTAAACCATGACTAATAAAAAATGGCCACACCTGCCTTACCTCATTGTTGAGGCACATCAGACCTCAGATACTGAATGTGACAGAGATAACACACCTGAACTCCTACTCAGGCCCCAGCTCCTTTCTTCTTCCCCACAAGTGGCATCAGGGAAGAGTTGCGAATGAACCCAGACTGGCCTGGCAGAGCTACTTAGCAGACCCTTCCAGCAAAGGAAAATTATTTTGGGGGTCCTATTCTCTCTCTCGCTTGTTATGCCTGCTCTCTTAACTCTTTTTGGGTCAAGTTTTGTTTTTAGGAGTCTATAATTCTGTATTTTGTGGAGAAATGAGCAGGAGGAGTATGTGTGTTGAAAACAGTTCAAGAACTGGAAGACATATGAAGTCCATCAACTGTATTCCCTCACCTTAATTCTTTCATTCACCCTTCCCCCACCCACAAGTCCCCACTCCCATACTGTGCCTATTTTACAGTTCTGTCTTTTGTTATTAACTTCTAATTCAATGTTCAAAGTATCCCTACTGTGATTATACTTTACTTCGGTCAGTTCAGCCCCTTCCATTGCTCTCCCTTACCCCTTCCCTCCTGTCCCCCATTTTTCTACAGCTTTCAGTACATATCCTTATATCCTCTTCCTTCACAGATTTTACATATTATGATATTGTTGATGCTCTATCATTCCTTTTTTGGTGAGGGAATATGGTTGATGGACTTCATATACTTATATAAAATAGAACAATGAAACACCTTGAGATTGCTTTAAGTGGGGCAGAAGGGGATTGAGTGGGAGAGATGGGGGGGGCAATCTAACCAATATACAATGTAAGCATAGTTGGAATTGTCACAATGAATCCCCGCTGTACAACAAATATATCTTAATAAAAAAAAAAAAGGCAGTTTAATCTTATCTCTCCCCCCTAAAAAAACAAAACAAAACTGGGAGATGGCAGTGGATGGTCTGTATCAGAGGTTCTCAAATATTTTGGGCCTAGGACCATTTTCACCCTCCCCCTTTAGCTTTATTCAGGTATAATACACAAAAAATAGCACACATTTAATATATGCATCTTGAGTTTGGACATGTGCATAACTTTGTGATACTGTCTCCATAGCCAAGTACTAAAAATACTAAATGTATTCCATCACCTCCAAAAAATTCCCTTGTGTTCTTTTGTGTTTTTGTTTTGTTTTGGGGTAAGAGACTTAAGATGACAAAATACTTCATTGTTAACAATAGTACTATGTTGTATGGCAGATTTCTAGAACTTAACTCATCTTGCATACTGAAGAATGGATAAAGAACTCATGCTGTGTAGTTATTTACCTGAAGGAAATGAAGTCAGCCTACAAAAGAGATACCTGAATACCCTTGTTTATTGCGGCACTATAGCCAAGATATAGAATCAGCCTACGTTCTATTATTAAATGAATGGATTAAAAAATGGCATATATACAATGGAGTTATTCAGCTATGAAGAAGAATGAGGACATGTCATTTGTAGGAAAATGGATGGAACTGGAGATTATCATCATGTTAAGTGAATTAGACACAGAAAGATAAAAATACATGTTTTTTTCCCAGTAGGTGGAAACTGCAAAGGAAAAAGGATAACCTGAAAATAGAAGATGGGCTATTAGGTAAGGAGAAGGGGTTATGGAGAAAGGAAGAAGAGAGGGGAGAGCAATAGAGGGTTATAGGGAGGGGGATAAGATATCAAAGCATAGTATAGGGATGTATAGAAATATCTCAGTGAAACTCATTAATTTGTACAATTAATACAACTGAATAATTATAAAGAAAATTGATCATTCTGAGCCTACAAAAAATAGTTGTATATACATACCATATATCTTGCTGTCTGCAACAACATGGGTGAACCTAGAGGACACCGTGTCAAATAAAACAAGCCATTCGTAGAAGGAAAAAGCATTGTACGAGTCCACCTATATAAGGCATATTCCACATATGTGAGATTAGAAGGGTGACCACCCTAAGCTGTGGGGAGGGGGAATGGGGAATCATTTCTCTTTTTATTTACTTATTTATTTTTGTGGCACTTGAGTTTGAACTCAGGGCCTCAAGCTTGCTAGGCAGGCACTCTTAACACTTGAGCCCACTCTACTAGCCCTTTTTCATGATGGGTTTTTTCCAAGATAAGATCTTAGGAACTATTTCCCTGGTGCTGGCTTCAAGCCATGATCCTCCTGACCTCTGCATGAGCCAACTACATGAACGTAGGTGGCATTTGCTGAAAAAGTTATGGAACACTTCATGAATTTGCATGTCATCCTTGCACAGGGGCCATGCTAATCTCTGTATTGTTCCAATTTTAGTATATGTGCTGCTGGAGTGAGCATGAGGAAACATTTTTCAATGAGCATAAAGTTTCCATTACATGATATAATGAAAATTTTGTTTAGCAAGTAAGAGAATGCATCTTTTAAAGGCAGACCTCTCCAACCTGGAGATCTTCATGTTAAGTGAAATAAGCCAGACTAGGAAAGACAAATATCAGGGTGTTTTGTTTTGTAGGGAAAGTGATAGTAAAGTTTATTAGGAAAGGAATAAGCTTTCAGTAGACTGAAAGCAGGTCTCTCTAAGAGTGAGAATGAGAACAACATGTTTTCTATCAGATGTGGAAGGGGACCACCAGGAGGGGAGAAAGAAGGTGAAAGGTAAGACAAGGTAATGGGGGTGTGAATATGATCAAAATACATTGTAGTGCTTTTTTTTTTTTTTTTTTGGTGGTACTGGGGTTTGAATTCAGGGTCTCATGTTTGCTAGGCAGGAAGTTTACCCCTTGAGCCATTCTGCCAGCCCAAAGTACATTGTATACATGTATGAAAATGTTATACTAAAACCCATTAACAAATGCAAAAAAATAAAGGTAGACCTCATAGGCTTGAATGGGGAAGCCTTCCGCATTGAAAGGGGAAGCCTTCCAGTTTCCACCTGGGCCCCACCATACTCCCCTTTGTTTTTTCCCTTCCTGACTTTTAGTAAACTCCATTTACACCCATGTGTCCTGTGATAGATTCTTCCCCACTGGACACAGAATTAGGAAGTCTTATGACCACAGAATGCACCAGTGCCATTAACATTTTGTGGCAAAGCCAGCTAGGAGAAATGGATTCAAAGTGTCACAGGAACCAGTTGCAGAGTAAGCAGATAACTTGGTGCCCCCAAAACAAGCATGGAACTCCAAAAGGAGATGCCTGGGCACAAGAACAACCTGGATTCTAAGGTCACAGCACCTTCTTCTCTGGAGAATGGTACATCAAGGTGCCATCTTAGAAACAGCAGCTTTCCCAGACAGCTGAACCTGCTGATGCCAAGATCTTAGACTTCCCAGATTCAGCCCTGTCAGAAATAAATTTCTCTCCTTTATAATTAAAAAAAATGGTTTAGTTATGGTAAAATACACATAAAACCTACCATCTTAACTATTTTTTTTTGGTGTGGGGGGCAGATTTATTGTAGGTGATTCATTTATTCTATATTTGAATGCATACAATATCATTTTCTTACCTCTTTTTGTTTGGTTGGTTTTATTTTGGTGGTATGTGGTTTGAACTCAGGGCCTCACACTTGCTAAGCTTGCTAGGCAGGCACTCTACCACTTGGGCCACTCCACCAGCCCCAAATTTTCATCTTTTATTTAAATTGTTAAATCCTGTGAGTATTATATTTGGCATTGATTACATACAAGTAATAATAAAATACTGAAGTTGAAATTTTATTTCAAATTGTGACAAGAGATGTCTCTTTTGTATTTATAATGAAGTTTCACTTTTTTTTTTGGTGGTACTGGGGTTGGAACTCAAGGCTTTATGCTTGCCAGGCAGGTACTCCTGAGCATACTTGAGCCATGCCACCAATCCTTTTTTGTATTAGTTATTTTTCGAGATAGGGTCTAACATGCTATTTGTCTGGGCTGGCTTTGAACCTCGATCCTCCTGCTCTCAGCCTCCCAAGTAGCTAGGATTATAGACATGAGCCACTGGCGCCCAGCTGTTCAGTGTTGTAATTAGCATAAAAGGCTACCTTTATCACCTTCCCAAATTTGAGAAGCTAGCACAGTACCACTGTAGAAGACTTCAGCCAGGTGCTGGTGGCTCATGTCTGTAATCCTAGCTACTTGGAAGGCTGAGATCAGGAGGATTGCAGTTTGAGACCAGCCCCCATCTTAATCGTTTTAAAATGTAAATTCATTGGTATTAAGTACACTTATGTAGTTGTGCAACCATCACCACCATCCAGCTCTAGAATTATTTTCATCTTTAAAACTGAAACTATATGTTTATTAAGTGACAACTCCCCATTCTCCCTTCCCTCTTCTCCCATCCACTACCAGTGTACCTCTGTCTCCATGAAACTGATTAGGCACCCTTTGTAAGAAGAATCATGCAGTACATCTCCCCCTGTTGTTGGCATTCATCACGCAGCACAGTGTCTGTCTTTAGTGTTCATGTTGTAGCATGTTTCACAACAACACTTCATTGTATGTATACTGCATTTTGCCCGTCTGTTCATCTTGTACCTTTCTTGCTATTGTGATAAGGTTGCTACAAACATGACTGCACAAGTATTTCAAGACTCTTTTGTTGGGTATATAACCAGAGGTGGATTTTCTGGCAATTCTATTTTTAATATTTGAGGAATCTGCCATATTTTTCCAGAAGCTGCACCATTTTACATTTTTACATTCTCACCACTACACATGGGGTTTTGTGTAGTGTTTTCTTTTGCTGTACTGGGGTTTGAACTCAGGGCCTCACTCTTGCTAGGCAGGCTCTCTACCACTTGATTCACTCTACCAGCCCTGTGTAGCATTTTCTTGACATCCTTGCTTAAAAATTTTATTTATTTTAATTGACAAGTCGAAGTGGTGTATATTTATGGTATACATGTCTATATTGCAGAATGGCTAAATCAAGCTTTTTAGCAGATGCATTGACTCATACCTATTTTTTTGTGATAAGAACATATAAAATCTACTCTCAGCATTTTTCAAATATACAATATTTTGTTACTAACTATAGTCACCATAATGTGTAATAGAACTTATTCTTGAACTTAGTTCCCTAACAAATTTTGTGTCAACCAGTATCTCCCTGATATCTCCCTTCCCCAGTCTCTGGTAACCACTATTTTATTCCCTATTCTATAAATTCTTACATTTTATGTACAAGTGAGATGGCATAGTATTTGTCTTTCTGTCTCTGGCTTATTTCACTTAATATAATATCCTCCAGGTTGATCCATGTTTTCTTAAATGACAAGATTCCCTTCTTTTTTAAAGGCTGAGTAATATATATATATATATATATATATATATATATATATATATATGTATGCACACATATACATGTGCATTCACATACATATATATAATACACTTACACATACACATACACATATATATATGCTTATACTCACACTTGCTAGACAATTGCTGTACCACTTGAACCATATACTGTATTTTTTATCCATTCACTCACTGATGGATAATTACAACAATTCCATATTTTGGTGACTGTGAATAATGCTACAATGAACATGGGACTGCAGATATCTTTTCAACATACTGATTTTGTTTCTTCTTTGATATTTTTTTCTGTCTTTTTTATTGCTTTTGGATATATTCTCAGTGAGATTGCTGGATCATATGGTAGTACTATTAAGCTTTTGAGGAACCTCCATAATGACTATTACTTTACATTCACACCAACAGTGGGAATCTATATTTTAGCCAACCAATGCTTATTTTTAGTGTTTTTGCTAATAGCCATCCTAATAGGTATGAGGTGATTTCTTATTCTTGCTTTGATTTTCTCTAGTAATTAGTGAAATTGAGCACCTTTTCAAATACCTGTTGGTAACTTGCATATCTTCTTTTGAGAAATATCTATTCAGGTTCTTTGCCCATTTTTAAATTGAGTTATTTGTTTTCCCATTATTAAGATAAATTTCTTACATATTTTAGATAATAACCAGGTATCAGATGTATGATTTGGATTTTGTAGATTGTCTCCATTCTGATTGTTTCCTTTGCTATGGAGAAGACTCTAGTTTGATGGAATCCCATGTGTCAATTTTTGCTTTTGTTGCCTCTGCTTTTTGGAGTCGTAACCAAAGCATCTTTGTCCAGTCTAATGCCATGGAGCTTTTCCCTTTTGTTTACTTCTCATTGTTTTTGCAGTTTCAGGTCTTAATTTTATCTTTAATTATTTTGAGTTAGTTTTTGTATATAGTGTGAGGTAGAGGTCTAATTTCATTCTTATGTATATGCAGTTTTCCTAGTGCCATTTATTGAAGAGACTGTCCTTTCCCCATTGTGTGTTCTTGATATCTTTGGCAAAAATCAGTTTATTTTGAGGCCCTCTAAACTGTGTTCTATTGATTTATGGGTCTGTCTTTGTTTGCTTTGCCATTACTATGCTGTTTTTTGTTTTTGTGTTGCTTTGTTTTTGGACAGGGTCTTGAGATATATATATAGTGCTAGAATCACAGGTGTGTGTATGTCCAGCTGCTATGCTATTTTGGTTTACTATAGTTTTTGGTTACTATAGTGTTTAAAATCTACTATGGTAAGTTTTTTTTTAGTACTGAGGTTTGAGCTCAGGGCCTTGTGTGGAGAACTTAAGGTGTTCTACCACTTTAGTCATGTCCCCAACTTTAGTAGATTTTCAAATCAGGAAGTATGATGCCTTCATCTTTGTTCTTTTTGCTCAAAATTACTGAGGCTATTTGGGGTCTTTTTTGGTTCCATGTGAATTTTAGGATTTTCTATTTCTATGAAGAATGCTATTGAATTTTGATAGGAATTGCATTTGAATCTGTAGATATTTTTAGGTAATATGGGAATTTTAATAATATTAATTCTTCCAATCCATGAACACAGGATATCTTTCCATTTATTTGTATCATCTTCAATTTCTTTCATCAGTGTTTTAATAAGAATAATGATTATTACTCCATTATGTGCATTCTTATATGAAACAGGACTTTTTGTTAAACTGCTACTATGTGAGGGTATGGGGTGCAGTTTGGTACCACTTTGTTGATTTGAGTTAAGGTCCCTGAAGTTTCACTTGCTGTTGCTTTTGCAACATCAGTGCAAATGTCTGCAAAGTGAATTCTGCAAAAAACTTTTGGTGGTATTATGAAAGTGGCCTTGATCAAATTTACCTCCTGAGGTCTTGGGGACCTCAGGAATAAATAATATGAGATCCATATAGGTCATACAGATCTATGTGACCATGGGCCTCAACAGCATGTGGCTTCCATCATGTTAGTTTTCTCTGATGTAAGGAAGTCCTGGGCTGCCCCTCAGTTCCTCCATTCTGAATTTTTTTTTTTTTTCTCTGTACTGGAGTCTGGAGTTTGAGCTCAGAGAGCCTCACACTTGCTCTACCACTGGAGCCATTCCAGCAGCCTACTTCCTCCATTCTGTTGAATCCTTTTTACTAGTCCTTTTCCCTAGTAAGGACCACAAGGGAGCCACTTTTCCCTTAGCAACTGTGATACTTCCCTTGGCTGCTTTTCTTCCTCCTTCTCATGCCTGCTTTTCTCTCTGTGGTTCCGTTCTCAGCTCACCTATTATAGATTGGCATCCTCATTTTACCACCTCCTTCTGTCCTCTAGTGATCTTATCCCTTCTCTGATGGTCTTGAACCATCACTTGTAGGCTGTCAGCTCCCAGTTCTCCATCTTCAATGCAGATGTCAATCCTGAATGCTAGTTCTGTGGGTCCACCAAGGACACTCCACCTGTTATGTCCTAGAAGTCATGTCAAAGTCATCATGTCTAAACTGATTTTGTCAACTTCCCCTACACATTGCCTCCTCTTCCAGAATCGTCAGTCGTGGTTAACTCATCCTCTCAACTGTTTAAGTCAGATGCCCAGTAGCCCTCCTCCTTTTATCTGGCACCCTCATCTATTCACCCAGCCCTATTCATTCTGCCTTTTATTTCCTCAATCTTTCCCTGTTCTCCAGCTCTACCTTAGGTCAGGCCCTCATCACTTCTTACCTATATTATTCCAAGAGCCTTCTCCTTCGTCCCCCTGCCAACCGTTTCCAACCTAGATTTTATGGCTCAGCTTGGAAACCAGGAGTTATCTTCTCACACTTTTGTTTTTCATTAAGTACATAACGAGTATTTATCATGCCAGGGACAGTGCCGGGTGTGGGGATACAACAGAGAACAAAAGAAGTGTTCTGACCTCCAGTATTCACAGTGTATGGAGGAGGAGAGAAAAGTACAGGGTGCACAGGTCATTAAGACTTGGTTGAGGAAAGATGGTATGGGTGCTTGGAAAACAGCTGAGTCAGGGGTGTTTAGGGGAGGCTTCCTGAAAGAAGCAATTCTCATTCTAAGGCTGCTCACTGGGTGGGAGTTAACTGAGAGGTGGGGGTGTGTTGATCAAACATTTTCCTGGTAAATTTGATCATCTCATTTCCCTGCTAAATAGCACTTTACCACTGCTTACAGGATAAAGTCCAAATTCCTTACCTTATGGCCTCATCTTCCACCACTCCCTTGCATGCATTATAATCAGCCTGAGCTGCTTTCAGTTCCCCCAAACCCTGCTCACTCACTCTCAGCTCAGCACATGTGGTTCCTTGTACCCTCCATCCTTCCCACCCAGTGCCTCATTGCTTGTCTATCAAGTGCTGAGTCACTGAGGTCAGCTGGCTTACAAATTCCCTGACCCCTCCCATGTAGACTTTGTGGCTCCTCCTGTGCTCCCCACCTGTACACACATCTGAACTCATGCACTTGTCACGTGTTTAGGGCTTATCCACATGTGTATCTTTGGATCCTGGCTGCCAGTGTAGGATCCCAGCTCCTGCCTACTTCCCATACTTTCACCCATGATCATTTGGGTGTCCCCAGGGTGTGTGTCTCCCATGTGCTAGTTGACAAGGCTAGATAATTACCATTACCCTTCCCCCATCTTGTCCTTTCTTCCAGCTCTGCAACTTTCCTTTGCCTGTACCAGACCCTATGGAGCCATCAGTTCTGCTGAACATTGCCATACCCATCAGGTACCTCACACATTTGAAGAATCATTGGCACACCTATGGTCAATTTTTTTTTCCTTTTGGTGGTACTGGAGTTTGAACTCAGGCCTCACACTTGTTAGGCAGGTGCTGTACTGCTTGAGCCACTCTGCCAGCCCTCACTGTCACTCCTGATGGCCTTTCTGCAGGAGCAGCACTGTGGGGCTGTTGGCCCCAAACTGCCCTGTAAAGCATGGGCTTGGCCACACAGATATATCTAGTTCACAGATACCAATCTAAGATGGGCACCAGTGGCTCAGCCAGTAATCCTAGCTACTCAGGAGGCAGAGATCAGGAGGATTGAAGTTTGGAGCTAGCCCCAGGCAAATAGTTCTCGAGACCCTATCTTGAAAATACCCAACACAAAACAGGGCTGGTGGGGTGGCTCAAGCGGTGGAACTTCTGCTTGCAAGCATGAGGCCCTGAGTTCAAACCCCAGTACCATTAAAAAAAACAAATACTAATCTAGCTTAGTATTAGCTCCTTTCCACTAGACAAAGCTTTGTCTGTGAGTCAGTTTATTGTGCCTGTTTCCCTCTTAAGAGTTTTTTATAAAGAGTTCTTTCTCAGTGGGCCTCTCAGCCCCTCATACAGAGGCTTCCCAAGGGCTGCCCACTAGTGTGCCAGACAAGCATGGTCCTCTATCACCAGCCTGCAGGCAAAAGATGTATGGGTACTTACTTATTTTTTTGGTATCACTGGGGTTTGAACTCAGAGCCTCACACTTGCTAGACAGTTGCTCTTACCACTTGAGCCACTCCACCAGCCCCTTTTTTGTGATGAGCTTTTTTGAGATAGGTCTCTTGAACTGCTTACCTGGGGCTGTCTTTGAACCACAATCCTCCTGATCTCTGCCACCTGAGTAGCTAGGATTACAGGCATTAGCCAGGGTTTTTATTTTTTAGAATAGTTAATTGTATAAGCGATGCTTATAGAGTTTTATTGTCACCAGGCTGAGCAATTTGGAAATATGTAGAGTAAAATTTTACTATTCCCCTACTCCCCCATCCTCAAGCCTACTCTGAATATAGGCACTGTTAATTATTTATGAAGATATTGAAACTTTTTGCTTTGCATTTACACAAATGCATGGCATTTGTGTGTATTTGAGGAGTTGACCCCTTTTTTACTCTGAGCTTTTCCCTTTCCTGCCCTCACATTTTTGGAGCTCCTTACTTCCTGAGCTGCTTCCCAAGCTACAGGCTTGAATCAGTCTTCAAGCATCTCTTGCTTTTGTGTGCTGAAAGCTTATACATTTAGGGCAACTTCAGTATTTGCTGAGTAGCCTGTCAAAGGAGAAGGCTTCTCTTGCAGAGATCGAATGTCTTGACTAGAAATAAGATGGAAGAAGGATTTGCTCTGGAGTGGAAGGACCTCCCTTTCTCAAAACTTCACTCCCCTGTCTGGCTGGGGGCAGGAGACACAAGAGGAGAAAGGTCTATGGCCTCCAGAGTCCCACCCTGCCTTCTAACAGTTCTCCTGGGCAGGCAGGAGTAAGATCTGAGAGAGGTGGCAGAATGGTGGAGTCAGGTCACAAGGAAACTGGTAACTTGGCCCAATTTCTGGCTGCTCAGTAAGAGGCACAGAGCAGTAGAGACTACCAGACCTAGCCTCTGCTAACATCACAGACGCCATCTTTAGCTCTCCCTGGTGTTAAGGAGAGTTCAGACACATATGAAATTAAGTTTCTTATTGTCAGGTGCAAGCTGACCATAAGCATTGAGTTATATAAACTAAAACTGGATTTCTTGCACACTCAAATTTGCAAATTGAGATTCAGTCCTGTGGCTTGTACAATTCATATTCTGCCACTTAAAAATTAACACTTTACCTTGAAAATTTTTCTACAGCAGTGGAAACAAATGAGAATGAAATAGATTTATCTTATTCTTCAAAAAAACTTTTAAAAAGTGTATGTTCATGGTAGGATTCAAGCAGTACTAAAGGAGAAAGCAGTTCTGTAGTCCTCCATTCCTTCTCCTGAGATTCTTCTAGAAGTTTTCTGTGCAGATAAAGTCATACATCTGTCTATGCATATCTATGTTTTACAACATCCCAGTAAACTCTTAACTCTTTATACTTTTCTGCCTGTATTTTTCTGCATAGAAAATTTTCCAGTTTTTATAAATAGTATAAGTAATACATTTATTACTTGTTGTTAAATTTCTACTTACTTAAGTAGATACAGTTTTACTTATATTTCTTTCATTGACTGCCTAGTATTCCAGATTGGATGTGCCATCTGACTGGCATTTAAATTTCCCAGTTTCCCAGTGCTACCAAAAAAAAAAAAAATCCAGATTTTTAGCCATTACCAGTTACACAGTGAATGTAAGAATAGCTAGCATTTATTGACCATAAATATTGTTGATGTGTGGTAAGTGACATTGTAACAGCCCAATAAGAAAGGCCCTCTTGGGCTTGGAATGTAGCTCAGTGGTAGAGCACTTGTCTAACTTGCACAAAGACCAGGTTCCATCCCCTACTTCATGAATGAAGGAACTAAGTGGCAAAGAAGTCAATAACTTCCCAAGTTCATGTGGTAATGGTTGATCCAGGTCCAAGCCTGTGCTCTAGATTACATCATAGCTCTCTGTAGATGGTGAGCACTTGTGCTGATGCATTAAATATACTCATAGCAGAGCACCTGCTAGCTCCAGACATGTGCATTTTATACTTTAATAATGTGAACTGGTGGTATTATTTTATGAAAAAAACCAATGTGGTTCTTTCCATAACCAGATGTGGAGTGTACCTGTTTCCTGAGAACAGAGGGGCTGCTGCTGCCCCTTGTGCCAGAGGCCCCACTGAGGAAAGTCATCCTCTCTTGTGGCCAGGGCTTCATAGATGAATTCAATCTGTTTTCCTCTGCTGTAGGCTAGATTAGACTCTCAGGAATCTTGGTAGCCCCTTTCATGCCCTCCAACTAAGACCAAGGCCACAAGCTGCTGGAGCAATCTGCTCCTGGTCTCCTCTTTTCTCTGTACCCTCTTTGTTTCCCAAAGGTGAGGGTACCTACCAACTAGATGTCTCCTAGGCCTCATTTTCCAATTCCTATGTCAAGAGGAGAAAAGGGCTTTGACTCCTCTTTGCTTCTACTTGCAGCTGCTACATCCAACCATCAGGAGCCCCACTATGGGTCTTCTAGGCCTTGAGCCATACCAGACCTACACAGAGAGGTAGGTGTGGCCTGCCTTTATGGCTATGACCTTTTTTTTTTTTTATTTTTGATGGGACTGGATTTGAACACAGGGTTTCATGCTTGCAAAGCAGGTGCTCTACTTCTTGAGTCACCCCTCTGGCCCATCTTGCTCTAGTTATTTTGAAGTTGGGGGTCTTGAGAACTACTTGCCAGGTTAGCCTCAAACCATTATCATCCCAAACTCAACCACCCAAGTAGGTAGGATTACAGATGTGAGCCACCAGTGCCCAGCTTATGGTTTTGGCTTTCATAAGACTGTATCAGTGGTTTTCAAACACATCTGCTGGGTGTGTGCTCTCACACCCAGCAGGGAACATTTGGCAATATTTTGGAGGTATTTTTGGTTGTCACAACTTGGTGTGGGGGTGTATGTACCACTAGTATCTCAAGGGCAGAGAGAAACCAGGAATGCTGCTAAACTTCTTGCACCACACAGGACAATAAAGAATTATTCAGCCCAAAGTGTCAGTAGTGCCGGGTTGAGAAACTTTGAGCTGTTGGAGGCAGACAGTGCCCACCCAGCAGATCGTTGTCCCCAGTGGCTCTTGAATCTGTTTCGGTGAAGCTGAGAGGTGGATGGCTCTCTGGTATGAAAGGCAGAGGCTTGATGCTGCATTTACAAAAATCTTTTTATAATGAATAGTGACCAATTTCCCTCTTGAAAAACCAAGGATGGCTGGCAAAGTTTGGGGGTGGGTAATGGGATAGATTGGCATTCTATGCATGAGATTGTAGACTATTGAGAAATTACAGATGTGGAAAACACTGCAAAATTTATTAGATGTGGCCCAGCTATTCTCAAAGCAAAATTTCAAGAAGCAAAATGGAATTAGATGCTTTATAATTAAACCAGAATAAAGGAAATTTAACTCAGCAAACTGGAAACACAAGCTGATAAAAAGGAGATAGAACAAGTTAAAAGCAGAAATTAATGAATTAGAAAACAAAATCTATAACTTTAATAAATACATTTAAGACAAAATAAATAATTTGGCAGATATACCAAGAGGAAAACACGTAAGTACAAATAGATACAAATGAATCTAAAATTGGAAAAAATGTTAATAACTTGCAGTAGAAGCTGTGTGTGGAGGGCTATACATTTGGCAGCGTCCTCATGTCTTTAAAACCTAGTTAATGAGCATGTGCTATATGCCAGGCACTGTTCTAAGCACTAGGGATATGCACTGAACAAAAGATACAAGGCAGGGTCCCCAAACAGTGCCATGCTGAGTTATTAGCAAGTCATGGGCAATATCAGGTGGGAACCCATGATACCAATGTAGCTAAGAACCAAGGCTCAAGTGCCTGGATATCAAAATGTTTGTTAATGAACAAGAAAATGCTGAGGCTCAGGTGAGATGGCACAGAGGAGAAACGAGAAATTTAAACTTCCAGACAGCCTGGACCCACAGGAAAATAAGGAAACTGTTATCTCTATTATTAACTATTTATTTTGAGATGGATTTTTTTTTTGTGTTACCCAGGCTGGTCTTGGACTCTTGGGCTCAAGTGATCCTCCCATCTCAGCCTCCCGAGTGCTGGGACTCCAGGTGTGTTCCACCATGCCTTCCAGAAATTAATGTTTTTAATGATAATGACCCATGTCTTCTTACCAACTGTTGTCTGAAGTGCCATGAGACTGCTCTTAAAAATAAGGACTTGCCAGGTGCTGGTGGCTCATGCCTGTAATCCCAACTACTCAGGAGGCAGAGATCAGGAGGATCACAGTTTGAAGCCAGCCCATGCTAATAGTTCGTGAGACCCTGTCTTGAAAAAACTCGTCACAATAAAGGACTGGCGGAGTGGCTCAAGGTGTAGGCGACAGGAAAGAAACCTTTGCTCCAGAATTGGATCCATTGCCAGTCCCCAACCTCAGCAGACTCCATGGCAGTGTGACTGCCACAGAGGCCTGTGTGG